CCCGGCTGCCACGTGCAGAGAAGAACCTCGGTGACCTCTGGGGATTTTGGGGAGTGGTAGGTGGGTTCCTTGGAGAGAGGACTGCCGCAGAGCCAGCAGTGAGAGGAGACATCTCCTCATGGTGGGCAGGTCTCCGTCTCCCCTCCCCGGCTCACCAAAGCAGCCGAGGGTCCCTGTGTGCTCAGTCACCACAGGGCTGCTCCTGGGCTGAGGCCCTCAGCACGTTGGCCCGGCAGTGTGATTTATAGCTCCACGGTGACTTGCACCACTTCCCCAGGTTACTCTGGCAACACAGAAGGGGTTTGCACCCTCACCAAGGTGCCTGCACACCTGTGCTCCCCAGCCACATTTTTCTTTTGTTGGGTAAGAAATTACTCGCAGCGCATTTCACGCAAGCAGCTCAGCTGCTGGCTACTTTATTGAATGCCAGAGCTCGCTGTATGTTATTTAGACAAACTTTATATATGCTACAGACCCTCTCAGCAGCCTGCACCTGGTCCAGGGCAAAGCTGAGCCTCAGAGAGAAGAATGTGCTGTAATGCAGCAAGTTATTACAGGATAAATATTTATAAGCCCCTGTAAATATTTGCCATCAGTTCCCTCCTGGGACTAGGGGCAGCCGGTCAGAGTTTCAGCAGTGCTGAAGGCATTAGCTGTTGCAGTTCTTTATATGTTATCTCAGCTAGTAAACCCTTTGTTGATTGTGTTTAGTTATAGCATTTAATGGTGCTAATTTCACCCTAACGGGAGACATCAGCTGGAATTGTTGTGTGCCTTGATCCCGGCCCTGCTGCGGGCTGACTCTCGGTGTAAGCATCCTCTGCAGCCCCGGTGGTGCCGGGGAACTGGGCTGGGGTGGTGGAGCAGGTCACCACAGCCGCAAAACATCCCCACGCAGATTCCTGTGTTGCGGGGCGAGGGAGCATTCCTGGCTGCATCAGTGTTATTGGAGCCTCGGAGCGATCCGCTGAGAAAACCAGAAAACAAACACGGCAAAACTAACATCCTCCCCAGCAGGCTGACCCCGGCAGGGGCTATCGGCTCTCAGCTGGCCAAAGGGGTGTCTAATCTAAAGCAAATATTCCCAGGGGATGTCCAGGATCTGTCCTGCTGCAGGAGGTGGCATGGTGGGCTCCCCGTGGGGGGTGGGCTGCCTCCACCAGTGCTTTCCGTCCCCTCCTTGCTGGGTGCACGGGCAGCAAGGGGCAGTGCCAGCCCTGGCACAGAGCAGATGTTGTGGGTGTTATGTTGCCCCTCGCTTGGGGCAGGGACAGCGGATGCCTGTGGCCGGCTGGTCTCATCTTCCCCATCACTGCTGCCTCTGTTGGGGCTGAGACGGGGCTAGCGCAGTGGTGGGAAACTGGGGGAGAAATGCCAGGGCAGGCAAGGCCATGACTCCTCCATGCCCTCAAACGCAGCAGTAAAACAATGGGCCCTGGGCAATAGCGCTTGCCGGATTGTTGCATGGGACTATTTGGGGGCTCCACTTTGCTGCTCATGCACGAAAGCCAGTCATTTGGCAAAAATCAGCTCAGTTAGCAGGCATTGTTCGTAAAGAGCCCGGGGCTGAATGGGCTCAGGGCTAATATATTCTATTATCCCACGCCTGCCTGTTTCCCCAGGGTGTCGTGGAGGGACCCGCGCATTCCAGTGCCGGATGGCCGGGGCAGAGCGTGCCCTGCCACCCCCGCGGGCGACGCGGCCAGCGGGGCCGGGGCGGGAGGGCACGGTGCGAGCAGGCGAGGTGGGTGTCAGTGGCTGGGGGCACGCCAGCCTCGAGCTGTCCCTTCGATGCCGAGTGCCCACCACGGGTGGATGTGGAGGAGAGCAGCCACAGCGAGCAGAGGAAGCTGCAGTGGGGGGCAGAGCATGGTCCCCGCAGGCTGCAGGGAGGAACAATGGAGCCAGAAATAAGAATGGTTAATTGGGCTGGGCTTTTCAAAGGGCAGGAGAGGACTGGGGATAGCCAAAACTGTGCATGTTGCAAAGCATCTCATTATTCAATAAGAATACGTTAGCCCCTGTGGGAGAGGCAGCAATAAATGGCTTTAAACCAAAGTTAAATGATGACATGAGAGACTAGGCAGAGATTTAAGAAGCAGTGGGCTACATAATTATGAACGGAAATGGCTGCACAGGCTTCACTCAGGAAAGTTAATGCCCAATTTGGAAGGCGTTTGCTGGAAGAGCAGCCCATCTTGGGCAGCTGCTATTTAAGAGGCCTTATACTGTGTATTAAGCAATTTAGTGGTCTAGACCAGAGCTTTTGGCTTTTTTTTTTTTTTTTTCCCCTTCTCCTTTTTTTAAAAAAAGAAAAAATGGTTTGCTGGGAAATTATATTTCAGTTTACAATTCACTCGTGGATTCCCATACAGGGGCTGCTGCTGTGAATGTGGGTATCAGATACAGAAGAGAGAAGGGAGCCAGCAGAGACCTTCCCTGGGCTGAGTTCAAGAACTGTCCAGGCTTTGCGTGTGGATGGATTTAGCAGCCAAGGTATGCTGTCTTGTAGCTTTTCCGCTTGGCTCAAGAGCGCTGAACTGCGGCGGGCAGCCCTTCGAGCTCAGCGACTGCTATAGAGTGTGTCAGGGTTGCAGCCAGCCCGATAATCAGTGTGGGACGCTCCAGGTACATGGTGGCACACACCTCTGGAGTGACCACGACAGGACATTTACTTTGCTCCATGTGGTATTTGCTGAGTCAGGATCCTGACTGTAGTTTTATCACAATGCCACTGCTGTCTTGCCTTTGGAGAGCTCCCCAACTTTTGAACAAGAGTTTCCTAAGTCCCTGTCTTGCCTGCCTACCTGTGATGATTCTATCACACCAGTCAGCCTGGGATAGAAGGATTATAGCACTGTCAAGTAAAATACGCCCATTGCCACTCTGAAAATGGAGAAGTTCTCAGACTTTCTTATGACTTTCCAATTGAAAGTGGAGAGTTACTTGCACAATTTGGTTCTGAGTGCTCCAGATGAGCAGGAGTCATGTTCTGGAGCAGAGACTCATACCTGAGGATATAACGCTTGGGTGCGAATAAGGATTCTGGAGAGAAATTCAGCCAAACAGCCCTTGAGCAGATCCGTGCCTTGTTCTGTGTACCACAATACAGCACACTACTGTGACACTGCAGTACTTTCTACCTTCTCAAAACGAGATGTTTCAGTGTTTTTAAAGTGATATTGGTAAAAGCAAATTCCAGGCTGTCAGAATTTCCCGAGGGATGAGAAGTCCATTTTGCAGCTGTTTCTTGGTGCAAACAGTGATCAGTGCTTTGCTACCATTTCCTGAGCCCAAGCAGCAGGAGAGGGCCTGCTCCATCCAACTGCTTCTTTCATTCAGCTACTGGCACCTTATGGCGAAGACTTCTCTTGTTTACTGCTGAATTCTCCACCTCATTAGCAGTGCTAACTGGCTTCTCTCTCCTCTTGGCCCTCAGGTGAAAGTGGCTCTTTCACGCTTCCAGGCTGCAGAGCCTCTTCCATTTACCTCTCAATGAGGTGTAGTTCCTGTATTAAATAGCACAAGCTGTTTAAGCGAAGGGCAGCAGCAGTAACAGGAGCTTTACATGAGTCCGGAGGAGGGAGCTCAGGAGAGCTCCCTCGGACGTGGATGCATGGGCACAGGAGAAGCAGATCTTGTGCACGTGGGGTCTGAGACAGCTCCTGCCTGGCTTGCGCCCAGGGGCACCCCGCTCTGCCCACGGAGCGGCTGCAGGACGGCGCGCCTGCGCTGGCACCCAGGCCGCTTCACAGCCACCACCCTCAGCGTGTCCAGCTCCCGGCTTTGGAGGGCAGCAAGTCTTTGCAGGCCCTGGGGAACACAGCAGCCTGCGCCTGCCCGCCGTGGGGGACGGGGCCGGCCCGCGCTCCTGTCCCGTCTCCCAGCAGAGCCGTGCCATGCCACGTGTGTCCTGCTTGCCTCCGGGCAGGACGTGCGGCCGCAGCTGCAGGCTGTCGGGCTTGCTGTGGCCTAGCTCCCACACCGAGAAGCTGCCAGGGGCAGTCCTGCCTCGGAGCTCTGGGCCTGCGGGCAGCACTGCCGGTCCACTCCACCCGTGCCCTTTTCTCGCAAAGGGCGGAGAGACTGGCGCTGCTGCTGGGGGAACAGTGGATGCTGCTGTCGCACAGCTTCTGCTTCCCCGGCAGGGCTGGAGCCAGGTTTCCCAGGCGCGATACCTCTTTAAGAAACCGACCAACTCTTTCTCTGTCCTGTGTTTGCTTTTTTTTTTTTTTTTTTTTTTTTTTTTTTCTTTCAAATACCATAGTTTTTGTTGGAATTTGTCCACAGGGAAATGAGGTCTGCACGGTCCAGTCCCGGTTCTCAGAAACATCTGCAACCCCGGAAAAGCCACTCGGGAGCGCCCGGGCCCCCCAGAGCTGCCCCGGCTCCGGCGCCCAAGGGTGCAGGCGGGGGCTGCGGGGCACGGCCCCGCCGGGACCGGGCCGCCCAGCCGCGCCGGCCCGCGGGGTGCGCTGGCGCGGCCAGCCCCGGGGGGTGCCCCAGTGTCCCCGAACCCCCGCCGGTCGCCCACGGCATCTTTCCGGCACCCCGTCGGGCCAGGGCTCCGCGGCCCGTCTCCCGCGCTGCAGGTGGCCCGCTCCGGAGCCGGGCTCGCCCGGCTGCGCGGGGCCCCGGCGGGACGCGGGTGCCCGCACCGGGCCGGCCGCAGGGCGCGGAACGGCGGCGCCGTCGGGGCCCTCCCGGGCGGGGCGGGGCGGGGGCGGGGGCGGGGCGGGCCGCGGCGGGGCGGGATTGGCTCCGGGGCCGCTGATTGACACCGGCGGGGCGAGCGCGCGGCGGGAGGCGCCGCCCTGATTGGCTGCCGGGGGCTCACAAACCCGCGGCGCGGCGCGGCGGGGCCACACCGGGGCCGGGGCCGGGGCGGCGGGAGCGGGCGGCTCGGCTCGGCTCGGCTCGGCTCGGCTCGGCTCGGCTCGGCTCGGGGGGCTGCCGGCTGCGAGCAGCGGGTCGGGGCCCCGGGCGGGGCGCAGCGGAGGGGCCCGTCGGCGGGGGCGCGGGGAGGGTCCCCGGGGCGGCCGCCGGCACCGAGCTCCCGTCGGGGAGCGACGGGCGGCGCCGTCGGGGGTGGCGATGGGCAGCGTGCGGGGGCCCCGCGGGGCCGTCCTGCGGGCGCTGGTGTCGCTGGCCGCCGGGCTGCTGGCGTGCGGCGGGGCCAGTGAGTACGACTATGTCAGCTACCAGTCCGACCTGGGCCCCTACCCGGGCGGGCGCTTCTACGCCAAGCCCCACCAGTGCGTGGCCATCCCCGCCGACCTGCGGCTCTGCCACAGCGTGGGCTACGACAAGATGGTGCTGCCCAACCTGCTGGACCACGAGACCATGGCTGAGGTGAAGCACCAGGCGAGCAGCTGGGTGCCGCTGCTCAACAAGAACTGCCACATGGGCACCCAGGTCTTCCTCTGCTCCCTCTTTGCCCCCGTCTGCCTGGACCGGCCGGTCTACCCGTGCCGCTGGCTCTGCGAGGCTGTGCGCGACTCCTGCGAGCCCGTCATGCAGTTCTTCGGCTTCTTCTGGCCCGAGATGCTCAAGTGTGACCAGTTTCCCCAGGATGACGTCTGCATTGCCATGACGGCTCCCAACGCCACCGAGGTCTCCAGGCCCAAAGGTAAGGTGTGACCAGAGCTGTAGCCCGGCTCCTGGTGCTTTTCTCTGAGCTGATGGGGCAAGCGTTAGCCCAGGAGGGGCTGTGTGGGACTGAAGGGGGTATGGCGGCAGGAGGAGGCTCACCTGGACTCTGCTCCTTGGCAGCAGTCCTCCTCCAGCCTCTGAGCGCTCTGCGAGCGCTCCTGTCCCGAGGAAGGCAGGACACCCTGCCAGCTCCTCGGCTCTATCCCAGAGCCGAGCCCAGGGGTGGGTGGTGCCGGGGCACGGTGGGTGCGTGGCTGCTCTGATCCCCGTGCAGGCACCAGGGCTGGGCTGCAGCTCCTGGTGGTCCAGGGCTCCGACCCTCCATCCTCGGGGTGCTGCACTACCCTGGCAGCAGTTTCCCAAGCCCAGCTCCTGCAGGGATGTTCTTGGCAGCAAGGGGATGCGTGGTCCCCTACGGCAGAAAGCGCTGCCTGAATGGAGTCAGTAGCAACCGTAATCCTGGTAGGGTTCCCCACTTTCCAGGCAGTCCTGGGGCAAGAGTCTGGACAGCTGGTGGCTGCGTATGTAGTGGAGATCCAGCCCCACCGTCTCAGGTGGGCTGTGTGCTGGAGAGGGGGGCAAGAGACTTGCCAAGAGACGACTGGGGAAAGTGGACGTAGTTCTTGTTTCCATTATGTGCAGCAGGTCTGTTTGGTGCCAGACCAGCTCGTTTGTGCGAGTTGCAATGAGTCTGGCTTGTTGCTGAAAACTTTTAAAATAAGTATATCCTGGTGTTGCTTCAGCATTCTGCATTGGAGCACTCTGAAAGGCTGGCAGGAGGGATATTTGCAGAGGAAGGAGGCAGAGGGCTATTAAAGTGTCCGGAGCTTCATTGTAAGGGCTGGACACTCCTGATTTCATGGGGGGATAGTGCAGGCAGTCGGGAGGAACTCAGGGACAGGGGAGTCGCAAGTGGGGCTGAGCGATTACTGTGGCTTCTGTGCTGTGTCCGGAGCCCACCTGGAGGGAAGGTCGCCCTTTGCGGCAGCCACTCGTGTGCGGTTACCTTTACAGACAAAGGCTTTACATTGTGCTCAGCTGGGAGCCCTCGCCCAGCCTGCTGGGGACTGTGCAGCGTTATCCCGCTCATCCCAGCGGGACAAGTACTTCGGGGAGCCCTTCAGTTATGGGGCGGGAAGGGAGAGCATCTTGCAGCCGAGGGGTGACGCTTCGGGGTGTCCCCAGGAGCTGGGGCACGTGGAGGGAAGTGGAGAAGCAACGGCTTGAGGGGGATGGATGGGGCAGTCACTGCAGGTGGGCGGCCTGGGGGCAGGCAAGGAGGGGACACCTGAGCTCAACACCCACCAGAGCGGTGCAGGAGCCTCTGTCGTGTCTCGGCAGTGGCATCCAGAGGCAGGTGGGGTGTGAAGCGTGTGCCAGGGGTGAGTTTTGGCTGCTCTCACTCCCAGGAACCCAGCTTCAACCTGCACAGCGCCGACGGCACCGCAGCCACTCTGGCTTCCTTGCTGTGGCTTGTGCTTACTGATGTGACTGCTGGAGGAAGCTCTTTGTTTTCCAAGAAGGCTCTAAAATCATCTGTCCTGTGTGAACCTAGACCCTTGGTCAAGACCACAGTTGTGTCCTGTGTCGCGAGTACAAAGGTTGCTTTTATTCCTCAGGGACTTGCAGCCAAGCGTGCTCCTGGGGCAGCTGGGTCTGAGCTGCTTGCTGTAGAGCTGCCCCTTCCAAGGTCTGAAACAGAGTTTGAGCTGCTTGCAGGTCATTTTCGAGACTTTAATGACCCAAGATCCAGGAACGGTCTTCTAGATGAGCAGCATCTGCTAAGTTTTCCCTTGTGTAGTTTAACAAGTAACTTCCTGATCACCTTTCAGCCCTGTCTTCGTCCAACACTGGGATGGATAGTACCGCTTTCTTTTGGCGCTGCTAACGTGCCCATCAGCACAATGTTTGGACACCACGCTGTCATTCTCAGGCATTGCTAAAGTGACTTTATTACAAGGAATTACGTGAGCTCAGGTTTGAGTCCTTTGTGGATCTATTGCTGGTCCTGTTTGGGGTGCAGAGAGGCCTCATTCTGCACAAGCTCTAGGGTGTATGAACTTGTTCTTTGAGTGAACTATAAATCAGAGCTGGGTGAGTATTACAAGGAAGTATTGCAGCCACTCAGATAAACTACTATCTGCTAAATGGCTTCACAAAGTGCTTATGTCCCAAGCGCTTTTAAATGAGCAATTTGTTTGCAGGGATGTTTACAGAAAGTAAGTCTTTAAAATTGTTGTGCAAATGTGAACTCTCTTCAGCATTCAGTGGAAAAGTGTAAGCAGACATCTTCACATCCCCCAGCTGCTTGAAAGTATTTCAAGAGGAAACCCGTGCACATGCTGTAGCTGAGCCCCAGCAGCTCCAGAGGCATAAGGCTGAGCACCTGGTGCCCATCGCACTGGCTGGGGCGCTTTCCTGCGAGGCGATGAGCAAACTTGCTAGAAAACGCCTCTTCAAGGTAAGAAGGCCAGGCCCCCTGGCAGTCTGCTGGCCTGGACCTGCTGCCCTTAGGTGTACCGGCTTTCATGGCATCAATGCTGGTTTGCGGCAGAGGGATGCGGCGTGTGTTATCCTACAAATAACCTTTGATTGGTGAAGCTTCGCATGCCACACACCCTGTGTGCTGGGAAGCTCTTGCCCTGAACAGCTTAGAGTGAACAGAGCAAACTCGGAGTTAATTGTGACCACTGCTGTAATATAAACCACCACAGCCGGGTCTCCTGTGCTGGTGCCCGTGCTCCCGCACTCCGCAGAAGGTCCACGCGTGGCCTGCAGTGATGGCCAGGGCTGGGCCTGGCGATGTGCTGGGCGCTCTGTCCGCCGGCGCTGCCGCCTCGTGCAGATGAGGGCTGCCTCTGGGTGAGCATGTTTGTGCCGCTGCGGTGCAGCCCAGTGCCTGCCGGCTCCTTCCCTCCGCCCGGGGCTCTGCCGAGGACACCCCGTCCACAGTTGGTGTGCGTTTTCCATCGGTGCCAGCTCCTGGAGCCCCTTCGGTCTCGGGCACTGGGGTGTGTTTCCTGTTGATTCAAAGAGGGCCAGAACCCAGCGGTGTCCCCCCTTTTCTCTGGGCACTAATAAGAACGAGCCCTTTCAGTATTTTTCCCCATTAACACCTCGAAATTGGAATTTGTTTCTGCCTCTCAAAGAGCTGACCTGCTGAATTCCTTTCTCCTTAAGCATGAGGCGGTAAAGCCTGCAGGCCCACAGGATGCATCAGGGGAGTTGCAGATTAATATAGCATTACACATTCCTTCTCCTGCCCCTGGAGTAAGCTGGCTCTAAAGCCAGGCGTTAGAAAATGGTCAGCAGGGAAAAAGCGAGCTGGAAGCAAACTAAGGTTGTGCTTGGAGTAGAGCTGTCGACTGCAGAAGATGGGCCCCAGCCAAACTGCGGCAGGCGAGGAGGCAGGCGGCTGTGCCCGAAACTGCGGGGTGCTGCGGGGTGCACCCCGGGCGGGCGCATCCTCTGGGCCACGGCGGTGGGGACTGCCTGAGGCGGGAGGACCCGAATCATGGCTGGGCTTCGTGTTCCTTCAGCCTGGGATTGCTCAGGAAGGGGAAGGTGAGGTGCTGGGCAGCGCTGTGGGCTGGGAGACGTTGGCCGTCGTGCCTGGGGAGGGGAGGCAGGGCAGGCGGTTTGGGGATTGCTGTGGCTCCGTGAAACAGCAGCTTTCCTGGGGCGCAGAGCTGTGCGGGAGCTGGTTGGGCTCCTGGCGTTCGTGTTCCTGACCTTGTCACGGTGGGGTGTCCCGCAGGAGAGGAGCATCTCCCTTCCCCTCGGCGTGGGGCAGTGTCCCCAGCAGCCTTGCCAGCATGTCCGTGCTGCGACGGGGCTGCGGCAGGCAGGGCTGGAGGATGCTCCCCGTGCGTGGAGCCCCTTGGCGCGCAGCTGGGGTGAGCATCGGGTGCCCGCTGGCGCTCGCCAGGCCGAGGGGGCCCTCCCGGCACGGGCGGCACGCTGCGGGCTTCACCCTGGCGCGGGGCTGCGGCAGCCTGGCCGTGGGCTGCGCGCGTGGGCGAGCGGAGCCGCAGGGAAGAGTCTTCTCCGTGGCGAGAGGAGTGTTGGCGGGACGTGCCAGGGGGAGGTGCTGCCCCGCGGAAGGTGCTGCCCGGGGCGCGGGACGGCTGCTGGCTCTGGACCCTCGCCGTAGCCAGGCGGGGGTCCCCGTCGTCCTGGGTGTGCCAGAGCGTTCCCAGGGGCTGCCGTAGCACAGCTAAAACAAAGCATGTGTCTTCACTAGGGAACAATGAGTCTTATTTTCCATTTTTTTTTTTTTTTTTTTTTTAATCTTTAGTTGCTTGGAAAGCTCATAGTGTAGACGCAGAGGTGGCTTTCACGTTGTTTGTCTGGCCCGTGTAGGCTCGGCCAGCCTCCTAGCCTGCCCTTTGGCTGCCGAGGCACACCAAAGTGCTTGGCACACTGGGATGTGTGGTCATAACCCAATGCATGGCAGGTACCCCCTCTCGTTCCTGAGGGTGATCCCTGGCACAGTAACTAACCCTTGGCACTGCAGCGGAGACAGACCGCTGGGGCTGTCACCCTCCCGCCAGCATCCCCTCTCCCTCATCATGAGCTCATTAAATGTGCAGCCTGGGTGGAAATATTCTGACTGCTGATTTTAAAAATAAAGTGTTGGGGACGTCATCACGTCCCTAAAGGCTGGCTTCTGCCTGCGTCACTCTAAGTTGAGACAGTAAAAGTGGCAATCGCACATTAGGGTTTTGGAAGAGGATGTTACCCAGGTGATGGGTGGCTTTCCGAGGCATGGAGCTACCAGGAGTGGGATTGTTAAGTCAGCTGTAGGGTGCTGTGACTTGCATGCTGGGGCGATTGGAAAGCCAGGTGCTCTGCATGTGTGATTAATAAAGACATGGTGCATGACCCCAGGAATTAGCATTTGGCACAGAACAGATTTGGGGGGTGAGAGGGGAAGAACAAGCCACAGGAAACAAATGTCTTGCCTGAAACCCTGTGGGGCATCTGTGACTGAGGAGACTTGACTCTGTGGTCGGTGTGGGTTGTGGCCGTGCCTCCCTCGCCAGCCGTTCTGGCTCTGCACCCTTCTTGCTGGGAGACTTCTCTGTTTTTTCTGTCCGGCACCACTGTGGGGTTTGCTGGCCTGGATGAGGGCTGGAAGGGGCTGAGCACTCTGTCTGCATGCAGGAACCAGCAGATGTTTTGCTGCAGCACCGTCCCTGAGAATAACTCCCTTGTGTGGGAAAGAGCCCTCCGTTCTGCTGGACCAGGAACAGAAGCAACATCTCCCAGCTCGATAAATTCATCCGCCAGTAACACAAATCTGTGTCTGTGCTGCTGGGTGGTCTCTGCTCTGGCTGGAGACGGGAACCTGGAAACAGATTTTTATTCTCTGGGTGAAGTGAGCTTTCCTCCCAGGATGGATCCTAATGAAATCTCCTGGGCTGGCGTTTCCCAAGAGGAGGATGTCGGCCAGCACCAGCGGCTGGCGAGCAGAGCCAGCTCTCCTCCACGGGAGCCAGGAGGCTGCCCTGCCAGCTTGTGGGGTGTAGCAAGGCCGAAAACCAAAAAGACAAGATGTCTGATCTTAGGGTAATGCTGGAGGGGCTTCTGGAGGTGGGCAGCACATGCGAGAGCTGTGCGGGTCCATCGCCAACCAGTGCCGCTCCGGGGCAGGGTGGGAGGAGGGGGGCTTGCTGTGTGATGCCGGGGCAGCCCCTGGGAGGTCCCTGGTGCCAAGGGGGAGCCTGTGCTGAGCTGGGCCGTGCCAGCCCTGAACCTCCCTGCCTGGCTCCGGGCAGCTCCTGGCCAGGGCAGCCCCTCGGTGTGCGAGCTGTTCCGGGCGCTGTCCTCCAGCTGTGCCGGGGTTTGGGCGCCGTGTGCCTGCCTTGGCACGCCGCGGGGAGGGAACGTCAGCGGGCCATGGGCCGTGCCCCGTGGCGAGCGGCTCCCCTCAGCTGAGTGCCTGGCCCTGAAAACCCCTCTCCTTGCCAGCACTGCCTTCCTGCTCTTGGCAGCTGCCTGCCCCTTCCCGTGCCTGGCGCTGGGGCCGCTGGCAGGGCTGGAGCGGGGCTGGCAGGAGGCTGCGCGTGGCCCCCCGCGGGGCTGGCACCGGGGACCCCGGGGCAGGGTGCCTGGGCACGTGCCCCCCCTCGAGGGCAGCGGTCGGACAGCACGGGCAGCCCGGTTCTGCGGTGCTTCTTAAGCTGGCTCCTCACCACCTCTTCTCTCCTCTTGCCAGGAACGACTGTGTGTCCCCCGTGCGACAACGAGATGAAGTCGGAGGCCATCGTGGAGCACCTGTGTGCCAGCGAGTTTGGTGAGGGGGAGCGCTGGGGGCACGGGGAGCCTTCCCGGGGCGGGGGGGCACGGGGCAGCGTGGCTCCTGTGCGAGCTGCATCCCGGACCACCGTGTTCCCCTGCCTGCCCCGAGAGCGGTGCGGCCAGCAGTGCGGCTGGCGTGGCCTCGTCGCCCGTGGGCAGCCGCGGCCCTTCCCCGAGGCGAGGGTGCCTCTAGATGTCAGTGTCGGCGCGCGGAGGCGGGCGGCGGGATGGGACTGGACTGGACGGGATGTGTCTGGGATGTGCCCGGCTCCCGCAGCCAAGCGCGCCCGGGGGCAGCGGGGTCCTGGCGGCAGTGCCTGCCCTCCTGCATGGCCCCGGCTGTGGGGCTGAGCATCTCCTGCCCCGCGGGGTGAGGCCCCGGGGCGCGGGATCGCTGCTGCGGGCGCAGAATCACACGGTGCTGGTCTGAGTCTGGGGACCGGGCAGAAGTGGCAGTGCCTGTTCTTTGGTGAACTCGGTGGAGTTCATAACGCTGGTGTTCCCGTGCTCTTCTGTGCTGCCAGAGTGATGTGTAGCATGGGCCTTTATTCTGCTTGCAATTATGAAGGAGCAAACCAGTTTCCTCCTTCCCCCAGATCGCTAAAAAGAAGCTCTGCAGTACGAGCAAAGTTATGCTGCTCTTGTCAATTCTGGGTGTAAAAACCCAAAGCCAGTCCTTGCCTGGCTAGGGCCAAGCAGTGAGCTTAAAAAGTGCAGAGCTACTTGAAAGCTGTGCCCTAAATATATTATGACTGAGTGAGTGACTCAGACAATCATAGGTAAACAGAACTTCATTTAAAAAAAAAAAAAAAAAAAGTAGCGTAGGGAAAAATATTAGCTTTCTCAGATCAAACCCAGAATTAACTGGTTTTGACATCCTTGCTGGTGTATGTAACTTTCCCGGAAGGTTATTAAAGGCATATTGAACAAGGTGTGCATTCCTTGGGGATTAGCACTTGAATGTGCCCTGTACCAGAGCTCACTATGCAAACCCAAACCTGCTCTGCATGCTGGCATATTACCCTTTCTGCTGGAAATGAATTCTCAACTCTCCTGCAGATTTGGTATGCCAAAAGTCCTAAGTTCAGCACAGGCTTTTTCTAACAGCGAAAGCATCAACAGGAACACCCATGTAATAGTTTCCCAGGAATGCGCACGTTTCTAGCTGGGTTGGGTAACAGACGCACGAATTCGGTGCGGCAGCTGGGGAGCGGGACGTGCTGTTCGTCCGACTGTGGGGCTGAGCGCCCGGGGGTAGGTGAGCTGGAGCATTCTGAGCTCTGCCTGGGCAGGTGTGAGGTGAGCGGTGAACAGGAGCTGCCCCTGCCCCACTGCGTCTGTGGGGAGAGACTGCAGGGAGCTTCCCTGCCGTCGGGGAGGGAGCGAGCAGCCGCCGAGGCCAGCGCGCCTGGTTTGGGCAGGGGCTGCGTGCCGGGGTTTGCGCTGGCGCAGAGGCATCGCCCCGGGCTTGGGGACCTCTCTCCCGGCGGAGGAGCGAGGGGCACTGGCCGGGCGGCAGCGGGGGCTCGGCTGCTGGTGGGTCCCTGCAATTCCTGACACCTCCCCGGAGACACACGAGGAGCACGCCGGGGTGGCGTCCCGCTGGTGGGCAAGCGCTGGGAAGGGAAATACAAGTCTAACCGCATGCTTGTCATCAGCCTCTGCCGCTAAATATCTTCCCCGTGCTCTGGGACAGTTACACAACGGGGAGCAGAGGCCAAACCAGAAGTATTCATGGCCTCGGCAGAGCGGCTTGAGACGTTGACTTGCCCACAGAGTAAGTTGGTTATTGGGAAATTCTGTGGTGACAGCATCCAGAGGATGGAAATATTTCTTGGCAGGCGGCTCTCTGGGTAGGGCTGCGGCGAGTGGCCAGATATAGTGTTACCGTGCACTGCAAGTAGCGGAGGAGCAGCAAGTAGAGGAGACCTCAGCCCCTGTGCCTACCCCAGTCAATCTGAAACAGCTGTGAAAGTTTTCACAGAAGCCTTCCTTTTGCTGTGGTTCGAGGTGGTGGGAATGGGTCCCCATTCCCAGGCCAGCCGTGCTGGGTCCCAGCACGGAGGGAGAGAACTGGGAGCCAGCTCTGCCGGCGTGGCTCGCCGGAGGGGCCGAAGGTGGCCCTCTCTGCCGTGCCGGGGAGCTCGGTGGTGTCACCGGGTGCCCTGTGCCCATGTCCAGGTGACAGCAGCTTGCACAAACGCAGCCAGACTTGAGCCTGTTCATGTGAGCCCTTGGGGTTGCTTTAGTCGTAGTGCCAGGTATCATAACTGTGTCAGTGTGCCTGCCTGACTTACCCAGATCACCATGTTTCTCCAGCTTTGTATAAAGTTGTTAGTTTTCTCTGCCAAAGCAGAGTCTGATGTTTTTTCTGACCACTGCAAGGAATACAGGATCATTCTTTGTTCTGTGGATCAGCACAACTCTGATATGTAACTTCATTTTTTAAATATGTCAGAGCTCTTGCTGATGCTGAGGTTGTTCCCATGCTTCCTCCTTCCCGCTCTTGCTTTCTCTATTTGTCTCAGAAAAAGGTTTTCCATTTGAAAACAAGATGACCTCCCTGCTGTAAAGAAGTCCAAAGGCACCTGAGCAGGACACAGCTGGTGTCTGCTGCGTGTGAACCATCACTCTATCTTCACAATGGAAAGCTGGTTGTGTCTTGGATATACTTTTGTTCCCCTGCTTCTCTCTGTCACCAGACTCAGTCGCAGTGGGAAGCTCACTTGCATGGGCTTTTTATGGGCCTGTGTTTCATGCCGCTGCATTTGGCATCTTCTTCCTTCTGTCGTTGTGGTGCAGATAGCGCTGCCTCCAGATGTGCCCAGTCTGTAGCCAGCTGGGGAGCTGGAGCAAGGGAAGAGATGCGATGCAGGTCTTGCCTGTGCCCTACAAGGGAGGGGAGTGAGGGTGCCCTGGGGATGTCCCAGCTGTGGAGAGCGGCCAGCACAGGGGGCATCAACTTCAGGAAGTTTTCTCAAAGCATAATGCACGGCCCTTGGATCTTTGTTTAGTCCTGGGGCGTTACTGTCATGGAGTGATTTCTCAAGGAGAGCTGTTCATCTGGTGCTAAAATAAACTCCCAGACCTTCAGACTGAGATTTCTTATGCACATCCACCAAGGTAAACACTGGCAGGTGACAGGTTACAGATCCTTATCAAAGCCAAACATGTACAATAAATGTTTAAAATAACGTGTGCTGCACGGGGCAGCTGTTGGTGGGTCCAGCGCTGATTCCTGCAGTAATGTTACTGCGGATTTCACTTACAGCCCAGTGACTCCTTACGTACAAGATGTGAGGAGCACTTTGCCCACCACTGATGTGCGTCTGTGCCAGGGTGGGAGGTGGCTGTGGAACAGCCCTGGGAGCGATGTCGGTCTCGAGGACAGCAAAGGAAGGGAGCTGCCTCCAGCTGTGAACACAGGAAGACTGTAAAGAAAAGAGACCTTTCTTCCCTGGCCCGGGAGAGGGCCTTGGACAAGACACTGGGGCTCGGAGGGGTGCCAGGAGCCTGCCAGCCTCGTGGGCCAGCAGGACTTGGGGCTTGCGTCCGTTTGAGCAGCGGTGAGTGTGGGCTCCTGGGTGCTGGCTGGAGGCAGCTCTGCTCCCCGCTGGGCTGCTGGCAGCTCCTCTGAGAGCGGGATGGCTCCGGGGCAGCAGCACATCTTGCTGCCCGCACGGCCCTGGCCAGGGCACGGTGGGAGCGGCGTGCGTGCTGCCGTACCCCTGGCGAAGCGTTCGGCACTGTCTGCCTGCTGCTGTGGCCATCCTGCCTTCTCCTCTCTTTATTTCAGCAGCATGCAGGAGCTGCCTCCTCTCTTCTCCACCTAGCTCTCTCCTTGGAAGCACCAGCCCAGTGCCCCCAGGGGAGGGGGAACGGTTCTGTCCCACCACCTCTGCGTGCAGCTCCCAGCGTTGCACCTGGTTTGCTGCTCGGTTACTCGCCGTAGCAGCTGTCCCCTGCCCCTGCGGCATGCAGCAAGGTCCTGTGGCACCGCTGGCTGGGCGTGGGTGCTGCTTGAGGCTGGGAGCAGGCAGCAGAAGCATCGCCCATGGCTTGGAGCAGGTCTGCGGGAGCACAGGGCAGAGGGTGTCAGCGAGTGGTGCGGGGACCCTCGCCTGGGGCACAGACCAGCCCGGGGGGCTGGGCCAGGTATGGATGGGCTAATTGCAGTTTAGATTTTAGTGCGGCTCTGGTGTGCTGGGGGCAGCAATGGATGCAGGAGAAGTGTGAGATCACCCTCCTGTGCCCCACAGCTGCCTCCCCTGGCCTCCCTGGGCTGCAGCCAGGGCTTGTTTCATACTCCCCATGCAGGCTGGGCTGGCCCTGGAGTTCATTCCTCTCTCTGGTTCTCTTGGTGATTTTATTTATTGTTTCTGCTCTTTTCCTGGGGTCTGAGGGGATCCTGCTGAATGGGCTCTCGCTGCACTGGAGACTGCAGTACAATCAATACATGCTGTTTATTTTTTCCTGTGACTGACAGCTCCTTGCCTGCAGCCTTCTCCTATTACAGCCCTAATGTGTCTTCTGGCAGGTTTCCTCCTTCTGAGTGATTTCTAAAGGAAGGAGCAATGAGGCTGAAGGAACAGCAGAACTTTCCCTTCTCTCACATTCCCTTCCCTGCCCCTGAGGTGCTGGAGTGGGGCCCCTGCCTGTGCAGGCAGGAGAACAGCAGGGATGGAGCCCCAGTCCCAGGCTCCTGTGTGCTGAAAAAGAGGGGCTGGAGGTGCCTGTGGGGCACAGTCACGGTGGGTGTGTGGTGGTGGACGCTGAGCAGGGTGCAGGGGCTCATGTGTCTCAGCTTGTGCCTGCCTCGGTACAGCACAGCCCTCGGAGACACGGAGAGGGTGCCTGAGCCCTGATGCTGTTATTGGGGAAGGAGGGTGCTTTGCTCTCAGGCAGCACTGATGTGGTGCTCCCAGTTTGCCTGGGAGACTGAGGTTTCCCCTTTCCCCACGCTGGGGGTGGGACTAGAGGGCTGGAAGTGTAGGGACATCGATAAGAATTGCTTCAAGTGATGAAATGAGAGTTGTGCTTTGTCAGGCTGGAGCCCAACCAGCTATGCAGGGCCTTTGCTGCTCTTGGAGCTGCTGCTGCCAAGAGTAATTTCACTCTGAGTGAGCAAACACTTTCATATACCCTGTTTCATATTAGCAGAAATAAAGACATTGTTGTACCTCCATCACTCCCTACTCTCTCTACATTAGAGATAGCAGAACTATGCTGCCACCTGATACGAGCCATTTGTAGTGGGGGCCAAATTCGTGGCTTAGTTTAACGAGGGTGCATCACCCCGGGCCAGGGTCTGACCCTCTGCTCATGGGAGCTGCGGCTGGTGAAGGGGCAGCTGCGCATCCAGAGCCGCCGCTGTCCCTCTCACGTGTCCTCGGACATCCATGGGCATCCCCGAGTCGGAGCAATCCAGAAGGAAGTGTAAGGCAGCTTGGGGCTGCTGGAGAGGAGGGCCTTGGAGGGGATGAGGCTGCCCATGCTGGGCTTCTCTTCCCCACTCTGGTGGTCGTTGGTGGCGTGGTCCTGCTGGGTGACGCCCTGGGGGAAGGAAGGGCTGGCTGATGCTGCGGTGGTGCATCAGGAACGAGGATGCTGGGGAGAAGCTGGTTGCAGCTGCCGACTGGTGCACACAAGCCCTTTGCAGGAGTCTCTGCGCTGTTCGAGGGTGGTGCAGCTACATCTAATTCTTGTGCTGGCAGCTTGCTGTGGCAGTGGGCAGGGTCTGGTGAGAGGCTCCGTGCCTGTGCTGGGCTTCGGCTCTGGCAAATGACTTGTACCTGGGCAGACATCAGCTTCCTGATGCTGGGGCTGAGCAAGAGCAAATGTGGGTTTAGCGCCCCGGGATGATTTCTGCTGTTGTAAACACAACATGACCGAGAGCTGTTGAGTCCCAAATTAAATCCTGAAATCTGCCTTTGTTGTGTTTTGTTTTTTCCCTCCCAGCCTGAGTAATGCTTTCACTTCTGTGTTTTCTGGGAAGAGCCTTTGAAGTGGGCGGCTGGACGCTGGCTTGCACTAGGGATCTCCTGCCATGACTCGCCTGTGAGCAGACGTACCAGCAGCGCTCACAGGGAGGATGTTTTGGGACCACGTGTGGCCCAAAAGTGAAACCTCTCCCTGTGCAGTGCAGGAATCCCCCTGTACCCTGAGCACCGTCAGCCGCATGACCCCAGGGTGTGCTCGCTGCTGGAGGGGAGCCGAGGGGAGAGCCTCCTGTTTGGCCAGTCCCACATGGTGGGGAAGGTTCTCCCAGTCCCGGTGGGTATGGATGCCCCAGAGGGGTGTGCAGCATCCCTGGGGATGCTACTCACCTCCCGCTCTGGCACCCAGGGGCTGCAGTCCTGGCCCTGTGCTGTGCCGGATCGGCAGTGATGGTGATGTCGCAAGCAGAGCTGAGACAATGCCTGGCTGGAAAGGGCTTCCCTGGGTTTATGGGTGGTCCTGGCTGCAGCCGGCCACCAGCACTGCTGGGGTGGCAGAGAACGGTACTCCTCTGCCATCACCTCTTGTGGAATGGCCAGGAGTTGGCTCCTGGTGCTGTCAGTGCTGCCGTTCACAGGGAAGTTCATGGTCTCTCCACAGCCCCCAAGGCTGCCGTCTGTCTATGGGTGCTTGCAGGGGAGGGAGCAACGGTCTTTCCATGTGAGCACGTCAGCCAGCGTCTTCAGGAACACGGATGCTTCAGTTAACAGGAGCTTGGGTGCAAGCGGAAGGTGTTGGGTGTGTTAGGTGAGGAGATGTGCTCGCGGTTTAGTGAGGGAGCAGGGGTTTGGTAAGAGGTTGTGCTGGAGCGTGCCTGTATCACGCGAGAGCAAAGGGAAGGCGGTCGGTCTCGTGGCTGGCGCGCTTCCTCTGCGGTGATGCGGAGCTGCTGCAGCGCGCGGGGTGGGTCGGTGCCACGGCCGGTGCTGGGGGGTCCCACGGCCGCGGTGCCGGTGGGCTGCGGCTGCTGCGCTGCCGGGCCTGCCCACGCTCCTGCGCTAGGAATAACCCCCCGGGTCTCTTCCCGGGGTCCGCTCCCTCCTGGCAGCGACGGCTGAAGGTTTAGTCTGTGCGAGCAAGCGCATCCTGGGGTCTCAGAGGCAATTTCAGCTCTTCTCCCGCTTGGCGCTGAGACAGATTTGGTGCGGCGCGGGGGGAGCGGAAAGGCCAGGGCTCCCAGGGAGGGAGCTGTTTGCTTTGGCAGCTCAGCTGGATCCTGGAGCCAAGACTCAATCTGTCCCACTTGAGCCTTTGCTGCCTGCCCGCTGCGGGGGCGGAGGTGTTCCCGGGCCGGAGGCATGCCAGGCGAGATGCAGCAGCAGCGGGTGGCATGATGGTCCCCCCTGCCAAATCCTTTGTGTTTCAGGAAAGCCACAAGCCAAGGGGCTGCCTCCTGCTGCGTGGGGTGGTGCTCCCAGAGCTGGGTGTGCAGCCGGGACTGAACGCGCCTCAGGCACCGCTTTTCTGATACGTGTGGAAAATGCCAGAGCTGTGTGCCTGGCCCTGCTGCTGTGAAGCGTGCCTTCCGTGCCCGGGAGTCTCCCAGAAAGCGGGTCTGAGCTTAAGGAACGTGGCCCAAGCAGTGGAGCAAGGGGGGACTGGGGAGCCAGGTCACTAGCAGAGGGGTGAAAACAGAGCAGTGATTATAATGCCTTTTGGGGTTTGTTTTTGTTTTTTTTTTTTTTTTTCCCTCATTAGGCTCTTTAGTCCACAGCAAGGCAGCTGAAACTTGGTAGTCCTTGAGCCAGGCTGCGTTTTACCCGGGTAGCACCGCACACTCCCTCTGTGGCTGCTGACAAGTGGCTGGCCAACTGTTTGCACCCCTGGTCAGCTTCCTCATTGGTCCTCCTTGGCGTTATCTGATCTTGGCTCTGTGCACTGCTTTGCACGAGTGAGGTTTGGCTGAGTTTTTAGCTCACGTCTGGATTTACGGTTCACCTGGGCAGCTCCTGCACTCCCTGAACCTGCATCGCTGGCTTGCGAACAGATGGCTGCTGCTGTGCAGGGAAGGGCGCAGCTGAGAGCTCCCACGGCACAGGATTACCAGACCCTCTTTGTCTTCCGTGGACTATGATACTTGGAGTAGAACAGCACCTCCAATAGCTGCCAGATTGGATTTTCTTCCTCTAGCAACAAGAATCAAAACTTGCAGCGATCACAGCAAAGCAATTTGCAAACAAGCCATTTCGAAAAAGTCTCTTGTTACTGGTATTATAACATTCCTTCTGCGCTGGCAACCACTGTGTTTAGTGCAAGAGTTCAGTCAGAATGGATAAAGAAATTGAGGTTCACATTGAGGGATGCTGCTGCGCTGCCCAGTTAGTATCATGGAGCTTAAGAGCTGCCTGAAAACTGCTTGCCTCGTTTTCTAGATTTGTTGCAAATTGATCTGGTTCGGCAGCTCAAGCTCCCTAAAACTTGGGTCTCTTTAGCTCCTTAAACATCCTGAGTTTGGAAAACAGATGGAATGAAAATTTCACTTAGGTTTCCAGTCCTGGATTACTTTCTTGTACAGTAACAGTATAACACAACAGGGCTCTTTGCAAACACAGCAGGCTTTTTTGGCACATGGGCAGATAAATACTGTTATTCCTGTTGCCAGTGCAGTTGCTGGGAGCATGAGGGTAATGCAGAGACTCTGCTGGCTTCTCAGGATTGTCATTGTCCTTCTGCCATTCGTGTCTGGAATGGTGAGCAGAGCTGCCGTCCAGAAAGCAACGTGTATTCATTGCTACAAGTTCCAGCAGAGCAGGACTTCAAGGAACGATGCTGCGGGGACCCGTCTCCCTGCCAGAGCCAGAGGCTTCTGCATGCTGTATGCTGCACATGCTCTGAGAGTCAAATGAGAAGGGACAGCAGACAATTAATCACCTATCCGAGCACTATGTATCTGCAGCTCTGAAGTAAACTCCCAAATGATGGAAATATGTTAGTAATTTTTGGCCATATGTGCTTTTCCCCCAAAATGAGGCAGAGCCAAATGGCACAAAAGTGATACTTTAATGTACAACACATTTTCATCGTTTTTCCCATGTATACTAAATTCCTCTTCATGGTCGTGGCAAAGGAACATTTTTTTTTTTGTTTTTATTCAGGCTGTGATTAACTCGGGAAAATGCTGAACCCAAAGAGGAAAATATTTTCCGTGGAAGTTGTATCAGATTAACTCCCCTTCTCCTGGGGAAGGTGCAGGCGTGGGGCTGCTCTGCACGGCTCTGCCTCCTGCGTGCGGGTCCCGCAGACGTGGCTGTTTGCCAGGACCTTCGCGGCTCGAAGGTGGAGATGATCAGTGCCTGGAAACTTGTCTGAGGCACCGGTGGGCCGTGAGTGACTGCAAACAAATGCTGGAGAAGCCAAGTTGACCTTTTAAATGGCCCTTTCAGGACTCTCTCCATATGTCTAGAGCCGGGAAATCACCTTGTTTACTCAGCGAACATTTTGCTAGTGCAGAGCATGTCACCAGCTGGGCAAGTCTCCCTCTCACATAAAGAGCACCCGGCGTGCTTTGCTGGTGGGGAGGGAAACAGAGACGTCGGTGTTTTACATGGGGATGGCTCTGCTTCAGTTGTGAGGGTTTTTGTGCCGTGGTCAGCAGGCTGAGTCATTGCTGGGGTGATGCCGTGGAGCGGGGAGCAGGGGGACGTGGTGGTGCGGGTTGCTGCTGCCGTCCTGGGGTGGAGACACCGGTGCCCCCTCGCCCCCGGGCTCGCTTAGCAAAGGCTTTGTGCCAGCGAAGGCTGATCAGGAGTTGTTTTGTTTTTCCCCTCCCTCTGGCTTGTTTTTCAGCTCTTAAGATGACCATAAAGGAGGTGAAGAAGGAGAACGGGGACAAGATGATCGTCCCACGGAAGAGGAAGGCGCTGAAGCTGGGGCCCATCCGGAAGAAGAACCTGAAGAAGCTGGTGCTGTTCCTGAAGAACGGGGCTGACTGTCCCTGCCATCAGCTGGACAACCTCGGCCACTACTTCCTCATCATGGGCCGCCAGGTGAAGACCCAGTACCTGCTGACGGCCATCTACAAGTGGGACAAGAAGAACAAAGAGTTCAAGAAGTTCATGAAGAAGATGAAGTCTCCCGACTGCCCAACGTTTCCATCCGTCTTCAAGTGATGCGGTGGGCGGTGGGAGAGCTGCTGCCTGGACCTGGCGCAGCCTGGCACGGTGGCTCGGTCTCGCTCCTCTGCTGCGGGGATGCTGGAGCTGAGCCCTCCTGCTCCTCCCTCGTGCTCCCCGGGGCTTCCCTTGCCAACCCCAGCCCTCCCACCTCCCTGCTGCCAGCATTTGCCTCATCGCCAGAGCGTGACGTGCATGCACTGAGGTCACACACGATTTACGTCTGCAAGATCCAAAGACCTATTGCTGTACAGATACATACGTTCATTTAAATAGCAGCTGTCAGGTAAAGAGGGCAAGCAGAGGGCTGTGACATTATGTCAAGAGATTACACGCTTGCAGAAAGGACCCCTGTGACCGTGTTACTCCTATCTTCATGGCTGCAGGATCACCCAAAATTAATTCCTGTTTGAACCAGAGCCGGCCAAATAGAAAAACATCCCGTCCTCACTATAAATGTTAATAAACTAGTGGAGAACCTGTTACAACCTCTGGTAAAACCTCCAAATAGCTAATTGCCCTCACTGTAAAAAAAACCATTGTAGTCTAAACCTGCTTTGTTTAAGCCTTAACCCAGGGGTCCTTGTGATACCTTGATGGCTGGATCAGGGAGCCCTCCCTTCCCTCGTAACGTGTCACCAGGATGCCTGCCCTGGCCTCTGCGCACCGAGCCAAGCTGGCTGAGCCCCTCGAGCCCGGCACAGTGCTGCAGCCCCTCCAGCCTTCGCACCCCTCACAGCCCGGCACAGTGCTGCAGCCCCTCCAGCCTTCGCACCCCTCACAGCCCGGCACAGTGCTGCAGCTCCTGCAGCCTTCGCACCCCTCACAGCCCGGCACAGTGCTGCAGCTCCTCCAGCCTTCGCACCCCTCACAGCCCGGCACAGTGCTGCAGCCCCTCCAGCCTTGGGGCCCCTCACAGCCCGGCACAGTGCTGCAGCTCCTCCAGCCTTCGCACCCCTCACAGCCCGGCACAGTGCTGCAGCTCCTCCAGCCTTCGCACCCCTCACAGCCCGGCACAGTGCTGCAGCCCCTCCAGCCATCGCACCCCTCACAGCCCGGCACAGTGCTGCAGCCCCTCCAGCCTTCGGACCCCTCACAGCCCGGCACAGTGCTGCAGCTCCTCCAGCCATCGCACGCCTCACAGCCCGGCACAGTGCTGCAGCTCCTCCAGCCTTCGCACCCCTCACAGCCCGGCACAGTGCTGCAGCCCCTCCAGCCATCGCACCCCTCACAGCCCGGCACAGTGCTGCAGCTCCTCCAGCCATCGCACCCCTCACAGCCCGGCACAGTGCTGCAGCTCCTCCAGCCTTCGCACCCCTCACAGCCCGGCACAGTGCTGCAGCTCCTGCAGCCTTCACACCCCTCACAGCCCGGCACAGTGCTGCAGCCCCTCCAGCCTTGGGGCCCCTCACAGCCCGGCACAGTGCTGCAGCTCCTCCAGCCTTCGCACCCCTCACAGCCCGGCACAGTGCTGCAGCTCCTCCAGCCTTCGCACCCCTCACAGCCCGGCACAGTGCTGCAGCCCCTCCAGCCATCGCACCCCTCACAGCCCGGCACAGTGCTGCAGCCCCTCCAGCCTTCGGACCCCTCACAGCCCGGCACAGTGCTGCAGCTCCTCCAGCCATCGCACCCCTCACAGCCCGGCACAGTGCTGCAGCTCCTCCAGCCTTCGCACCCCTCACAGCCCGGCACAGTGCTGCAGCCCCTCCAGCCATCGCACCCCTCACAGCCCGGCACAGTGCTGCAGCTCCTCCAGCCATCGCACCCCTCACAGCCCGGCACAGTGCTGCAGCTCCTCCAGCCTTCGCACCCCTCACAGCCCGGCACAGTGCTGCAGCTCCTCCAGCCATCGCACCCCTCACAGCCCGGCACAGTGCTGCAGCCCCTCCAGCCTTCGCACCCCTCACAGCCCGGCACAGTGCTGCAGCTCCTCCAGCCTTCGGGCCCCTCACAGCCCGGCACAGTGCTGCAGCCCCTCCAGCCATCGCACCCCTCGCAGCCCGGCACAGTGCTGCAGCCCCTCCAGCCTTCGTGCCCCTCGCAGCCCTGCCCGGCTCGACAGCGCAGCAGCCCGGCCGTGGGGCCGGTGGCAGAGGGGGGCTGCCTCCCCCCGTGCCCCCAGACTCGCACGGACCCCCGGCCGCGTTCAGCTGAGCGTCCCCCACGCTCGCCCCCCCCGCAGCAGCATTTTGTGGCGGAGTTCCCGCGCACACGTGGCCGGTGCTGCTTGTGCCCAGACGTGTAATTCAATTTTAGCCACGTGCAAACGCATACCGTTCTCTGGCCAGCCCAGCAGCCCGGGACTCGGCCCGGGGAGAGCTCGCGGCCAGCCCCTCCAGCTTGTGTCACTCCCTAACTTTACCAGTGATATTTTTATAGTTTCTTCAGGCTGCTGGCAAAATTCCAGATTCCAGGAGGCCGAGGACTTGTCCCTATGGAGCACCACGGGAAATGCATCGTCTCCATCCTTCCCTCTTTGCAGTTGCTGTGGGACCTATCAGTTTCTAGGTTTTTGTCTATTTGATGTGTGACAACTTGGCTTTGTATCATTCTGTTTTTTTTTTTCCCTAATCAAAATGTCATGTTAGTATGAGGTCAAATAGTTTATGAAAGACAAAGAATATTGCATCCAAATGATTACATTTATCGACCAATCTGAAATTCATTATTCTGTTAATTGGACATGTTCTCTTTTCCATAGACCCGTATCACTCCACATTAATTATACTATCCTGCTTCCATTCAGTATTCTCATCAATCACAATTACTCTAAGAGAATGAATATCTTGCAATCTGAGATAATCCTGTTGTATTGCAGTTAAGTGAAATAACAAATCCTCATTTTTGAGGTTTAAACCAACCCCACTCAAAGCTGGTAAATTAATTATTCTTTAGCTCGGGAGTGCTGTTTATTCCCCATGTGGGAACAGAGCCGTGGACTTGATTGTAGAAGAATTCCTTGAAGAAGCCAAGCGCGCTGAGGAATGATGTTTCACAGCTAACAGAGAGATGGATTTAGGATGTGAACTCTGTAGAAAGTCCCACTAGGTTGTCTTAGACCACCATTTGTAGTAGTGTTGTTTCTCTGATGCAAAATTAATCATTGTAGATAATGTGCTTTATCAGTGAATTAAAGAAATAAATAAACCATGGGCTTTAACATCACAGATTGATGAGGTGAAATGATGGGGAAGGCTGACAAGTCCAGAGACAGGTCGTGGCCCAGAGTTGGGACATGCTGAGCTGAAAGGCCGGTTATCCTGGAGCACCCAGAGCGCCCGGCGATGCCCCGCAGGGCCCGGGGCAGGGACCCTCTGCCCCCACCAGCTTGCCTTCCGCAGCCGAGCGGCAGTGAGGAAGAGGAATTGGTTGTGCATGAGAGAGATGCTTAAACCTTTAATTGGGCAGAGATGCTTAATCCTTTAATTGGGCTGGGGTTTTCATGTTATCACCCAGGCTGCTCTAGCAACCTGCTGTGTAATGGGCTGTTGGTTTACTATTTTAAAAATACATATTTCAGCAGGAGGCAGCAAAGCAAAGAGCAAACTAGTTCACGTGTGCTTAGAGCCACTGCCGGCTCTTAGCAGCCCTTGCTGCTCAGAAAGCCTGCTTTCCACCAGTGGATCTTGAACCTGAAAGCCTGGATCCAGAGGCAGGCGAAGTGAAGAGGGCAGTGGCCTCTTCTCCTTTGCTCCGGTACAGAGCATGAAACGATGTACGTGAGTTAATGCAGCTTGTGTTTTTTTCTGCACAAGTAGTTCAGAAAAAACAGTAGCAAGAGCATGCCCACGAGTGGTGCGTTTTTCTCTTTGTAAGCGTTTTGTGCATTGTCTCACAGGCTTGGCCCGGGGTGCTCACGCCAGCGCGCGAGGAGCACGGCCCTGGCCCGGGGTGCGTGGCAGTCGTCCTGCGAGGACTGTGCGAGCCTCAGACTGCATCCCGGGGCCAAAGAAACCCCTCAGAGCTACCCGTGGGAAGAACAGATTACCACTGTAAATGCCTATGTAAAGCATAATATAATCGTATGTTACTAGGTGCTCAATCAGTTACTTCGAACACCCCGCTGATGCTGTCCTTGAAAAGCTGATCAGCTTGGCATGTTGTATTTCAGACGTGGTATTTTGAACATTTCCATTACCTGGAAAGTAACTTTCCCACTTTCTTGCCAAACTGCTCTGTGATCTGCCAGCTGTTCCCGCCTGGATCCAGGTGGTAGATTGACTCACTGTCACTCCGCTTCCCCCCGGGGCTCTCTTGGTATGTGCAGGTTTTTGATAAAAATAACAGCATAGAAGAAATGCATTTGATGTAACATCATGTTGTTGGCAGTTAAGGTATCTACATTTTCTTTTAATGTTATTTTAGATAGTTAATTTAGAGAAGTGTGGCAGATGAGAGGGGACTGTTTTTCTGTTTGGAAGTTGAAAGAGAAAATGTAAAAGACCAGTGAAAATCAGCACTGTAGAGAGCAGCCTTCTCTGTGCAGCGAACAAAAGCATGAGGCTTTTCATTACTGTAGCTGGCATGACTTTTTTTTGTTTCTATGAATATTCTTACACCTTTTAAAGGCTGACAGATATAATGATTAGCAGTACGAAGGCTAATGTAGCTCTTACTCTAGGAAAAAAATATGTAATGGGAGCACATGCTAAATGTCTGGGAATTGGAGCTTTTTCCCCCTCCTGTCACTTCAGGGGGAGTTTGGTTGCAATGAGGTTTGGTGGGTGATCCTGTGAAATTACCACCTCATGAAAAGGACAACGTGGAGTCAGTAGGAGGGAGGTACCGAAACACCAGCTGGCACCAGGAGGAGACCCTGCGCACGCTGAAGGGTTTGGAGGGAAGCGGGGGCTGGTGGTGGGTGAAGCTCCCTCTGCGGAGGCGCGGGTGTGCACCGCGCGTTCCGGTGGCTGCTGCTCTGGCAAAGCAGAAGCAGGTCCATTTCCAGGAGAAGACACCTTAAGAGAAAATGTCCAGCAAGTTCCACACTCCCTAGA